TCGCTCTGTTTTCTTCCCTATTATATTGTTGATGGTTCTGAAGATATAATAAATACATATTAATGTCCTTTAAAAGCTGAAAATACTGTAATTGCAAGAATTCATTGACTTATTCATTCAACCAAAGGAAGAATTTTCATATTTTTTTCTTTTAAAACAACCACATATCAACTGGTGGCTATTGTATGGCATATATAATCTTTTACATAAATTATTATTCAGTTGATTTAATTCCAGTGCTCATAAATTTTTATCTTCTCTTATTTACCATTCCTTTGCTTTGTGCCTGAGTTGTCTAAGTAGAACTATCAAATTTTCAAATTTGGATAATACTAACTATATAAAATATTATAGAGTTTTAAAGTTGAATCGAAGTTCTGTTTGCCTGAATCTTTTCCATTCTGATTTGGCAGTAATAATCAAGATTGAACACCGTTGCTTCTCACCATTCATAAGCTTCTTCAGAAAAAAAGCAAAAAAAAAAAAAGTATATTGATCCAGTAAGTCATTAGTAAGTCATTTCTGAGTAGGACATAATTGCATTTAAGTTGATCATTATTTTTCCTTTGATTCTTTTGTGTCATTCATGCTCATCACTTTCTTTGAGAATTAACTCAAATTGAAGACTTTTCTATGATTTTCTTTTCTGAATTCTGAACACCCTTGTATAGGAGACTTGTGTGCTATTGTTTAGCTCCCATGCAAAGGCAGCTTTACAGGACTTCAGAGCCGGAAGGTCCTCTGCAGTCATCCAGCACATCACCCTCATTTCCTGATGAAGAGGATCAGGGAAATGAGGTCCACCCAGGTCACACAGCTGCTCAAACTTAGAGCCAGAAGTGTGAACCAGGCAGCTTTCCTTACTTTCTGCTTTGTCGTTGCTTGATTTTCTCATGTGTGTGTGTGATTTGTCTCTGGTTAGATTTGTTATCATGGACCTACCTTTTTTCCTTAAGCAAAAATTCTTCTTGACATCTGTGTACAAAGGAGGCACCTAGAACCCTTGGGAATGAGGCCTTTAGAAGCAGGTGTCAGTGGTCTATGACTAGCCCTTGGTCAATACCATTTTTAAAGTGTCTAAATGTCTATTTTTATATATAAAGCATATAAGTTTTCTCTCATCTATTATTGAACTATGTATAATTAAGGTATTGTATTCTCATACTTGCCTGAAAAAGAAGACAACACTACATAACATCTATAATAAGTAGATGACCAGCTCAAATTTTATTTTCTGATTACTTGAAATACTGCAACAAGGTGATGAGTAGTAAGGTCTGTATCTCAATATTTTATACATTTTTCTAAATGGTTTTTTAGTACAGAAGAATATGTGCCTAGAATGGTGCCCATCCAACTTGGCCATATATCATGAAGCCATCAATTTAACCATTTGAATTCAAAGTAGGACATTGAGACCTGTGTACCTTTGTTTTACAGAGCTCTATACTTGGTTGTAACCCCTAGGCAAAGTAGGGAACCATGAATTTAGACGAATGGCCTTGTTGGGATGACTAAAGCTTCATTTTAGGAGAAAATTGCTACTTTGGGAGACACACCCATTGAATGTGTGTATAGAAATCTTGTAGAAAGATACCAACTGAATTCATACATCACTAAAATCACCTGATTGTCTGTGGACAGCACCTGTCAGGCCTACACAGTAGTTGAATTATAGCTACAAACCTTTGTAAATACAGAATGGAATTCATTAGATCAGGAATGAGCCCTCTGCTTTTCAATTCAGAAGTGACACAGGAAGCCAACATTGATTACAGAAATACATTGTTTAAATCTGTCATTTTGCCATCTTATTGAGTAGTGAATGACCCAATGAATTCAAAGTTGTAGTAAGGTTCATTTTTTTTTACATACTGGTTGTATATGAGTTTAATCCCACCATCTTTGGTGTATTTCTTCAGTGAGGCTGCCTTATGGATATTCCATTAAACTGGGTTAACTATCAAGAGCATATTAATAAAATATGCATACATTAGAAAGCCAAGGACAGTCAAATGGTCAAAAAATTTAGTCTATGCAAGTGGAAAATTGGCAAAAGTCAACTTAAATTTTTTCTTGGAACCTGTTCTGAGCCTTGCTTTGGGCTGGGTGCAGTGGATCCTAGCAAAAGCCAGACACTATTGAGCCAAGACATTCAGTTTTCAAAAGAGGCCAAGTTGGATAGACTGATGATTGTGATGTAATAGTAATTGCATACTACTTGTTATTTCTTGAATATAATGATGCAGAGAATGAAATTTTTTTTCTCCCATTTTAACCTGAGAGATGACATTTAGGATCATCTTATTTTAGAATTTCACAGATAATGACACATTTTTTTTTTCCAAGTATGGTAAAGCATCCTGTAGTGAAAAATTGGAGAACTTTATTTTCCTTTCAGTAGTGTGTTGCAGGGTTATAAATCCACGTGTATATGGACTACATGGCATTTCCATTTATTCAGTGGAGAGTTGAGAGGGTCTGCGTTTAGCACTTGAATATTGGACATGATTCAAATATGAGTCAAGTGTGTCTAGAGGCTTTATTCATACCTACTTTCTTTTAGTCAGCAGTGCTTCATAATGCCTTGGTTTCATGAATTAATTTTAATGGAATTAAACTTGAACAGCTCAAAATTATATAATTAATTTCATTCAGCTTCAATTAAAGTTACTAATTGAATCAAGCCTACTAGCATGACACCTGGCGGCAGTCAGCTACATTACAGTAGCAGCAAGCATGTGGGACTCTGCCGATGAGCTAGGGCACTGTTGAGTTTATATAAAAATATCTTTTTTTGATAATCTAAGAAAGGCCTTGAGTTGACTGTAGACATGCAAGATTTCTGGAGTTGTTTAAAAAAGTAAAGATTTTAATGAAAACTAACACATCTCATGAAGATTACACTTTCTCTATGTTAATGCTGAGTAAATGTTAGATAAATCTAGAACATACTGGTTTAGCATGCTTTTAATTTATGTTTTACTGCTATTTGAAATGGTTTTGCTTTCTAAAACTACTTAACATTGAAGAATTTATTTTCTTTAGCATCTTAGCCTCTGGACTTAGTTGTAAGTGGGTGTCCATCCATTTTAATGTGTTGAAATGTATCTCATGGCAGAACTTTTCAATTATTGTGAAATTCCCTTGTTACAGTAGAAATTTCTGCATGTGCAAAATTTTTCCCTTCCACTGGAAATATTAACACAGTTGACTAACAACTTCTGTTTGAATCTCTTTCCTTTCTTTGCTTCCATGGTTTGACATCATCCAGCTCTTGTTACTTCTGTAACTCCTTCCTAATTGTACAGACCTTTCACCTCTTCTCATACATTCACTCTTTCAGTGAGCCCAATAATTTGAATGACCTTAGCAATCAAGATTAGGAAGAAGAGTGTTTCTAGATTAACCTTTTTCTCCCGACTTGTAAATTCAGATGTCTTATATTGAACTCATCCACTAGATTGTACAACTTTGAAATTCATGAGGATGGCCTGGGTTGCATCTCATAATGATTGTACCCTCATCACCTAGCACAATACATATACATCTAGTGTGTTCAAATATATATTTTTGAAAGATTATTCTCTGAATCCCCCAGGTTTTCCTAGTCAAATCCAGACTGAGAAGTTAGTCTTCATCCCATTTTCCTTGATTATCTGTACTGACGTCTAGTTTCTTACTTTTTTTATCTAGTTAATTATCTAGTTAACTAAAAATCTTATCAAATACTGTGTGGACTGTGCAGTCTCCTCTATAGTTTACCTTAACTCTACTCTCCCTCTTAGATGTCCATACTCTAGTGATTTGCAAGAATGTAAGTGCAATGGAATCATTTGAATGCAGCCCCCAAGTGAAATAGAATCTCCCTCATTGAAATTGGGTTTTTGGTTGTGGGACTGTGGAATTGCTTTGGGTTGAAAATATCCAGGATTGAGAGCCACTGTTGTACATGAGTCTGTTAATCTTTCTCATGCACAGTTCTGATTAGGCATTTGATAAAGCTTCAGTGACTACTTTTAATTGTTTATCTTGATTTTGAATTAAGCCAAATTTTTCATCTTGGCATTCAAACACCTATCCTATATCTAATCACACATTTACAGTCTTACCTCCTAACGTACCCCCTGCAAGTACTTCACAGTGCGGAGCTGGAACCTTTGCCCAAGTGTCTGCTTTTGGAGTTTACCCATGCTGTTCTTCCACCTTTCTCCCATCTGCACTTTTTGAAATCCTTCTAATCTTTTAAAGACCATCTGACATGCACCTTTTTCTTTGGTACCTTTCTTGATCTCTGAATCCCGATGAGTTTTTTTTTCCACCCTTTGAACCAACTCTTTGGTGCTCTGAACCCCTCAGAGCATGCATTTTGCCTTCTGTTACAGTTTGCTTTTTGTTTGACTTATGTTCCCAAGAAGACATTACATTTCCTTACATATTGGCTTTCCCTTGGGAACCCATAAACTCACATATAAATCTCTCATCCTAAATGTACTTCTTCTGTGAGGATGCATTACACAATCTTTGACTTTTTCCCAAGTTTCCACAGAGAGAAGTCTGCATTTGCTTTCTGTACCTCCTTAGTACTCAGTCATTTCTCATTCAGCTATAGTCTAACTTGCATCTCCACCACTCATCGGAATCTCTTCTCTGGTGCTTTCCTGGCCACACTCATCTGCTCCATGCACTATGTTCATCTTTGATGTCCCTTTCCATGGCTGTCATGTCAGATCACTTTCTGTGTAAAATTGCTTGTTTACTGTAATCTTAACAGATTGTTTTTACTATTAGCGTTTCTATCTCTTCAATTTTAGAGAGATAAAGGGGACGCAATAAACATCTGCTGTGGAGCCAATTACTCTGTAACAGTCAATAGATGCATACCTCTCCAATTTATTTAAATTACAACAAACTTAGAAGCAATTAGGAAAACTATATAAACAAAAAGAAAATATGTAACATTCAGTGATAATAATCTTATATATGTATTTTTTGTTTAGAAAAATGTGATAAAGACAATACTGAGAAAGATAAAAATGAAGCTACTAACAGCCGTTTCACACATGGAGAGATGCAAGACCAGTCCATTTGGAGAACTCCTTCAGGTGGTGAACTCATCAGAAGTAAGTAATTTTAGAGAAAATTTGAGTGATGTGGGGATATGACTGTGTTACTATGCTCTCAGTTAATTGTTCTGCATAATTCTGCTGCAAATCTAATATCAAAAGAATTTATCTGACCATGTTTTCAATAATATTGTAAATTACAGAGCTATAAGTAGGGTGTAAAGGGTGCTGTCTGATAGCTTTTATCCTTTCTTTAGGAAAGAAGTATTGATCTGTAAATTTTGAACTGGATATAGTCAAAACTGTTCCTTCTCAAGCTGTGTTAGAGTGGAAATCAGGCAACTCTTAGTTTATGTGAATGTGAAACTAGAAAGAGAAATATGGAAAGAACTGAAGAGCGAGCAGCAGCTTTTTTTTTTTTTTTCTAAAAAGCATTTATTTGAGAGAAAGAGAGAGAGAGTGACAAATAGAAAGAGAGGCAGAAAGCTCCCATTCACTGATTCATTACCCAAATCCCTGCAATGGTTAGGGCTGGACTTGGCTGAAGCCTGGAGCTGGAAATTTAGTTGAGGGCTCCCACATAGGTGTCAGGAACCCTATTATTTGAGCCATCTTTGATGACTTCCAGGGGTTGCATTAGCGGGAAGCTGGGATCAGGAGCTGGAGCCATGGTTTGAACCCAGGTATTCTGAAATGGGTTGCAGGCATCTTGACTAGGCTAGACCCTTTCCTACCCCAGGTAGTATCTTGATAAAGCTATTGTGATCCTTGTTTTGTCTGGTCAAATGATTCCAAAGTGTTTTTATACAATTAACATTTTGTCACTATTTGTTTTGATACTGCCTAAAATTTCTCTCTAGAACATGTGCAAAAGTTTTGGCGTATTTTTGTTTTACTCTGGGAATGTCTTTAAATCCTAGTGTCTTTGGGTTATCATTGAGAATGTTGATTCTCTGTGAGGTCCTACTCTTGACATTTTAGAGTTTGTGCTCTGGTCACCCCTAAGGGTTTCAAGATGAATTTTACATGTAATAATTTATTCTATACAGTAAACATGTGGATCTAAAGATCAATACAATACCACGCCTCGAAGAGCGTGGGAAGAGATCTCTTGAAATTCTCATTCATGGTAACCAAATCCCCCTCTTTCATTTTCACTTTTCCAGAGTGACAGAGGAGAAGAATTCATTTCTGGGTATCATGTGTTATTTTCATCATTATTTTTTAATTCATCAGTTAAGTCTTGTTACACATTTTTTTTAACTTTTATTTTATTTTATTTTATTTTATTTTATTTTTGACAGGCAGAGTGGACAGTGAGAGAGAGAGACAGAGAGAGAAAGGTCTTCCTTTGCCGTTGGTTCACCCTCCAATGGCCGCCGCTGCAGCCGGCGCACCGCGCTGATCCGATGGCAGGAGCCAGGAGCCAGGTGCTTTTCCTGGTCTCCCATGGGGTGCAGGGCCCAAGCACCTGGGCCATCCTCCACTGCACTCCCTGGCCATAGCAGAGAGCTGGCCTGGAAGAGGGGCAACCGGGACAGAATCCGGCGCCCCGACCGGGACTAGAACCCGGTGTGCCGGCACCGCAAGGTGGAGGATTAGCCTATTGAACCACGGCGCTGGCCTTTAACTTTTATTTAATGAATATAAATTTCCAAAGTACAGCTTATGGATTACAATGGCTTCCCCACCATAACGTCCCTCCCATCCGCAACCCTCCCCTTTCCCATTCCCTCTCCCCTTCCATTCACATCAAGATTCATTTTCGATTCTCTTTATATACAGAAGATCAGTTTAGCATACATTAAGTAAAGATTTCATTAAGTAAAGATTTCTGTGTGCTCCCACACAGAAACATAAAGTGAAAAATACTGTTTGAGTACTAGTTATAGCATTAAATCTGAATGTACAGCACACTAAGGACAAAGATCCTACATGAGGAGTAAGTGCACAGTGACTCCTGTTGTTGACTTAACAAATTGACACTCTTGTTTATGGCATCAGTAATCACCCTAGGCTCTTGTCATGAGCTGCCAAGACTATGGAAGCCCCCTGAGTTCACTGTCTCTGATCATATTTAGACAAGGCCATGGTCAAAGTGGAAGTTCTCTCCTCCCTTCAAAGAAAGGTACCACCTTCTTTGATGACCCGTTCTTTCCACTGGGATCTCACTCACAGAGATCTTTCATTTAGTTGTTCCCCCCCCCCCCCCCAGAGTGTCTTGGCTTTCCATGCCTGAAATACTCTCATGGGCTTTTCAGCCGGATCCAAATGCCTTAAGGGCTCATTCTGAGGCCAGAGTGCTGTTTAGGACATCTGCCATTCTATGGGTCTGCTGTGTATCTCACTTCCCATGTTGGATCATTCTCTCCCTTTTTTATTCTATCAGCTAGTATTTGCAGACACTATTCTTGTTTATGTGATCCCTTTGGTTCTCAGTCCTATCATTATGATCAATTGTGAACAGAAATTGATCACTGGGACTAGTGAGATGGCATTGGTACATGCCACCTTGATGGGACTGAATTGGAATCCCCTGGTATGTTTCTAATGTCCCAAATTGTACATCTCTTCCCTCTCTTATTCCCACTCTTACATTTAACAGCGATCACTTTTCAGTTAAGTTTCAGCACTTAAGAAGAATTGTGTATTGATTACAGTATTCAACCAAAAGTATCAAGTAGAACAAACAAAAAAAATATCAAGTAGAACAAACAAAAAAAATACTAAGAGGGATAACATATTAAGCTGCTCATCAACAGTCAGGGTGAGGGCTGATCAAGTCACTGTTTCTCATAGTGTTCATTTCACTTTAACAGGTTTCCTTTTTGGTGCTCAGTTAGTTGTCACCTATCAAGGAGAACAAGTGGTATTTGCCCCTTTGGGATTGGCTTATTTCACTCAGTATAATGTTTTCCAAATTCCTAACAGGGATCTCTTTTAAGTTAAAATTTAAACACCTAAGAATAATTGTGTGTTAATTACAGAGTTCAACCAATGGTACTAGAACAAAAAAAAATACTAAAATAGATAAAGTATTACATTGTACATCAACCGTCAGGACAAGAGCTGATCAAGTCACTGGTTCTCATAGTGTCCATTTCATTTCAACAAGTTTCCCCTTTGGTGCTCAGTTAGTTGTCGCCGATCAGAGAGAACATATGATATTTGTTTCTTTGGGACTGGCTTAATTCACTCAGCATGAGTGAACATATTATACTTACTTTGAACCTTGGAAATTCCTTTGTACTCTAGAATTCCCAATACCTGGGTCTAACTGAAACCAAACAGAACAAAGCAGGAAAAGAAAAGGAAGAGGCCAACTTAGCAGAGAAAAAAAAATAACAATAAAAAATTAAGGAAATTTTCAGTTTTTCAAAACCAGCCCTAAAATTGAGTGTGTTTAGCATCATTTTTTTAAAATACACATATGTCTTGGTGAAAGGAGTAGGAAGGAAGGCATTGAGACTCAGAAATTAGTGAGGAGCAAGATTTATAAAGCTCTTTAAAAAGAGTTAAAAAACACATTATTCCAGCAAACATTTATTCCAAAAAATATATTGCTTGCCTTTTATTTAAATACTGACTGTACTGTTGTGAAGCTTATGGCTTTGTGAGATACTGGCATGTTTTATCTGATTTCCCAGCCCCTGGAGTGCCAGAAAGCTCCTCTGGGAGAGAATCTTAACTCCACCTGTTGGGCAGTATGATTATTCTCTAATTGTGTTTTTCATGGTAACAGAATTTTAAATGTGTGTGTGTGTTTGTTTCATTTAATTGAATTATTTCCCTAATTTCCTTTCCCAAGGCCCACACTAGGAAAATGTGAATAAGATCACTTAGAAGAAAACCCAGAATACAGACAACTGTTGCACAAAGGATATGGAGAGTCATGTTAATGTGTGAAATATGTTTGTTTTGCTCGGTGAAGCTCCTTTTGGTCACAGATTTCATCCCCTTAAAGAGAATGGATTCAAATAGAGTTACTATCTCTGTTGTTTGCGTTGGATAAGTGGACGCTGATCAGAAATATTGTAAATTGCAGGAACTAGTTTCCTTATAGAGATAATGATGCAACTTGTGCCAGGGGACACTGCAGCATTTGGGAACAACTGCTTAGTTTTCTACTAATCTGAACTGAAAGAATGCAAAGATAGGGAGATTTATAGCTCCCTCAGATAGGGCTGCTGGTAAAACTGAATACATATGCGAAAGATAATGGCCAAAGACAGTAATGCCAGTGCCGCTGTAAACATTAAGCTGGCAAGTGTTTCCACATACTTGTGGGTGACATCTGACTCTGCATTCTGATTACTGATTCCAAAAACTTCTTATTTAAACAAAGGTTATTTGTTAGATCTACAGGAAAAAAAAACTGCGAGATCTGGATTTGCAGAAGTAGAGCATTTATATCATCTTTAAACTTGTCTCCCCTCTGGATAGCATTTGAAAATTTGGGCTCGTGGTGGCTTCTGCTGTTCCCACTCCCAGAGATGAAACTGCACACAGCTGCCAGTCTTTCCTTCTTTGGCATTTTCCGTGGAGCGGTTGGCCATCTCCAAAACCCGAGGGTATGGAGATGTGTGTTTTCCTCTTGCTTCAGCATCTAGCACCGTTTTGGGGCCCAGTAAATCTTTTATAAGAACAATAGGGCTTGGAAAGGGAGACTCTGGCACAGACCTCGTGTGTGGTGAGCCAGGACCATGCTGGCTTCTATTCAGGGAGTCCTGTGCGGCCCCCTGAGCGCCGTGGAAGAGAAGGGCTGTCACGATACTGATGCTCCTAGTCCCACTATCGAGCAAGGTTAGCTGAGTGGAGGGATCATCTGTAAAGTGAGGCCAGCTGTGATGTGGGAGCATTTTCAAATGCACAGCCCACTCTTTTTCCAAGCTGTCATGGGTCAGCTCAGCTGCACCAGCAAGGCATGAAGGAGATTGATTGTGTTGAATGTGACTTCTTGCTCTTTATCTGTTCCTGAGAGTGGTTGGTCAAGGCTGGCAGCTCATGTCTCTCTTTTGTCCTTGCTGCTGCCCTGTTCGTGGGACATTCTGACCTAA